CCCCAAAACCCCAAAACCCCAAAACCCCTTAAAATGTAAGTTCATTAAATTTCTTAATTAGAAATGCTTAAAGAAATTAATTTTAATTAAAATTACTATAGAGATAATTAGCAGCAAAATATACCTGAGAATGTATTTAATCATTTCTTACTTGCCTTAATCATTTGCTTATCTTAAACCTTTGTATCTCTCTTTTTATTTTTCTTCGAGGCTAATATTTCTTTAGATTTTAAAGATGAAATTCCGAATTTCTAGCCTGATTGCTCTCTCATCAATTGCTTTTTCTCTTTGAAATCATCAAACATGTCATTTATCCCCTACTCACTCATTTTAATCCTGACAACTTGCATTACCTTCATAATATGATTAATATCAGCTAAAACTTCCTTTTCATTATATTCAACTTTTTCTAGCTTAACACCTACATATTTCTCGCAAGCTAAGATCAAGTTGATGTCATACTATGTGACTAAAGTCATTGAATTACCACCACGACCAGCTCTTGCAGTTCTACCAACTCTATGTACATAATCTTTGGGATTTTTGGGGACATCAAAATTAATCACCATTTGTACATAGGGTATATCAAGACCTCTTGATGCTACATCGGTAGCCACCAGAATTTTTGTGTAATTTGATTTGAATTTGGCAATGTTATTAATTCTCTTTCTTTGATTTAACTGAGAGTGAATGAAAGTGGCATCAAATTCAAGCTCTTGCAAAAGCATAGCTAGGAAGTGACAGTTTTTGCATGTGGAGGTGAAAATAATGCATTATTGCTGCTTCTTAAGCTTAGTCTATTTCAAGATGTATATTAGATAAGCTTCTTTGACATTCTCAGGGATAAATACAAGCTTTTGATCAAGATTCTTGACTGTCATCTAAAAATCTTCATTTGCTTATTCTGTGTTACCTATCTCAATTAGCTCCTTCTTTTCATCACCCAGGATGAGTTTCCTATCTAGCTTTTTATCAATATCCTTGACCATTGTAGCTGAGAATAATAAAGTCTATCTCTCTGCAGGGAGAACTTCAAGAATCTATTTAATATCTGGGATCATTGTGTCCTCTAACAGCATTCTATCTGCTTCATCAAAAATCAAGAACTATAGATTTTGCAGAAATTCTTTTAGATTGTATTAATCATTTTCAAGAAAATGTACTAATCTACCAGGACAGGCTATAATAATATGTGGTATCTCTTGAAGTTCTTTTACTTATTTCATATAATCAACTCCACCTACTAATATACTTATCCTTAGATTTAGATTTTAGCCAGCGAATGAATGGATCTATTGCTATATTTGATAACAAAGTTCTCTTGTTGGGGATAAAATGAGTCCAAATACTCCATAAGGATCTATTGCCAATTTTTACAAGAGTGGAAGTGCGAAACAGGCTGTCTTACCACTACCAGTTTGGGCACAACCAATGATATTCTTGCCTTTGAGAGTATGTGGCAAAGATTTCAACTAAATCTCAGTTGGATTCTTTATTCCAACCAGTTCTAGATTCTTTATGAGCCAATTGTCAAGGTTAAGTTCCTTAAATGACTTTTATGAGTTTTCCATAGAAAAAGCTTCTACTATATATTATTAAATAATACTTACTTTATTTGATTGCATATTTATCTCAATGGGGTTTTGGGGTTTTGGGGTTTTGGGG